AATACATTAAAGGTTCATTTTTTGAAAGTATATTATTTGAGTACTAACGATGCATTATTTCTTTAAAAAAAAAAACATTATTTGGTATACTACAAAACAAACCCAATATATATATATATATATATATATATATATATATATATATATATATATATATATATATATATATATATATAAAAGATACATTATTTGGTATACTACCCCAATATGCCCATATAGGCAAATTTTACTGTGGACCGTGGTCCACAATGTATTGTAGTCCAGGCATCAAAACGACGTTGTTTTGTTTAATGAAAAGAAACGGCACCCGTTTTGCCGCGTTCCGCAAAAAGAAACTCTGTTATTCAGTTTCATTTTGTATACACTGCAGTTTCATTTTAACACAACTACAGTATCATTTTGATATAACTACAGTTTCGCTGGACAATATACACTCAAATATGTGATGTTATTCAGTTTCATTTTGTATACACTATAGTTTCATTTCAACACAACTACAGTTTTAGTTCAATTCAATTGCAGTTTCAATTAATAATATAAAAATAATACGTGAGGCAGTGTTAGTTTAGATATACTGTAGTTTCATTTAGTAATTAACACACAAAAAATACGCGTTCCATTAAGCTGTAACGACTGTCATTTCTTTATTTAAAGAAACTGAGTCATTTTTGACCATGGTCCACAGTAATTGCTGGCCGATATAAAATCGAATTGTTATACAATGGATCAGGGTCTACCTTGTAAGGTGAACCCCGATCCAAAATACACAATTTGCATACTGATATTCACAATTTACCTTTTAAAAAATTGTGTACATTCAATATGTAAATTATGTTTTTGGACCCGAATCCACCTTACAAGATGGTCCACGACTAATTTGCCTATAAAATCACTTAGAGAGAGAAGTCTGCCAAAATGGATAATTTTTTGTCATATTTGGTCATTTTACCTTTGAACAAAATAAATAATTTTTACTTCATTTTCTTTTGTAACAAAACACTAGATTTTTTTTTTTTTTTTTTTTTTTGGAATTTATAAACGGACCCTAAAGAATTTATAAACGGACACTAGGTTTTAATTTTCTGATTAAACAATTAATATTTTCTTTATTACTATACCCTACTTGTAGTTAGCAACTTTAAGGGGGAATTAACTTCAAGAACAGAAAATTTCAACGACGTACATTCATTCCATCTCTTCATACTTTACTAGCATTTAAATATGAAAACTGCTCTGATCTGCACCATCCATATTCGATCACTTCAAACTCCCCAACTTTTCTTTCCAAATCAATCTTATCATATTTGGGAATTTTTTCAACACTATACATACACATGTTGTATTCTTAATAAAATGAAGTGTAGTGGGTTTGATTTGTGAATTTCACAAGTTTGATTTTTTAAAACACCTTTTCAGTTGAGTTTGTTGCACGGAATTTTTTTAATATAGTTTACCTTTCATATGTGGTTTGCATATTATTACATAGGAATGATGCGCATTTACTGCTCATTAAGTAGTGGGTGTGAATTCCCTTGCTACCCAAGAAATATGTGGTGGGGTAAATTTATAGTTTATTAAAAGTTTTGTAACTCATTCAATATGCAACATTAATATGACGTTTGCTTGGGAAGAAGGAATTAGGGAGGAAAGTAATGGTAATCTGATGGGAAAAGAATAAGATGGAATAAAGTAAGAATTCAAATTACATTGTTTAGTAGGGAGGAATAGAATTATTGGGGATGAGAAAGAAAGAAGTCGTATCAAGATTAAAACGTCATTGTATAATAATAATAATAATAATAATAATAATAATAATAATAATAATAATAATAACCAATAGTACTACCAAGCACTTTGTGCTTAGATGACACCTCTGTGGCTTTTTTTTGAGGGAAGGTCACAAGATTGAACCTCTCTTTGGGCAGCAATAGATTGAGAAAGTATAGAATAGATATTACCTTTTAATAGAATCAATAGTACTAAAAAAAAAAAAATCAATAGCACTTTTGTCATTTCTTTTTTCTTCTTTCCCTCTCTACAACTATTGAATTGCAAAAATAAAAATTGAATTTAAAAATAAAGAAGAACATTACGAAATAAGTAAAAAAGAAATGATTTATTTGAACAATAAATAAATAATAATAAATGTTATGTGTAAGATGAGACAAATGAAATATTTATTTGAACAATGTAAAATTTCAGAACATATAACATAAATCAAATACGATTTATTTAATTAAAAAAAAAAAAAAAAAGGACTAGGCTGGTTGCATTTTTCAATGAGTTCTATTATCTTATTTATACTCTTTGAGGTAACAAAATAAGATCTATCATTTTTATCATATGAGTCCACAGAAAAATATCTACATCAAAAACATATGAAAGGGAGTAAAAGTAGGGAGTATAAAATAGGAATAAACAAGTATTTTTCTTTTTCAATACATTCTTGCAGCTCTAGTTAAGACTGTAATAGCATTGCTTTATTTTCATCAAACAAGATGCTGACACTTCTGACATTGGTAAGACAAACAATTTATGCACAGTTTATACATTTAATTTGTTGCACTTTTCCACACTTGACACTAATTTTTACTGCAAAGGTGAACAATAAAAATTTGCAATAAGGTCCAAATTTGTCACTAAATATAACATAAAAATGCAATTACGTTATTGAACAAAAAAAAAATGTAATAAATCACTGAACACTCTAAATGTATGCAATTTTACCTATAGCAGGTTATCATCCATTTTATCGGGTTACATGCTTACGTGGATGATGAGTTGACTTTTTAATTATTTTTAAATATAAATTTTTAAAAAATTTTAAAAATTTAAAAATTTAAAAAAAAAAAAAAAAAAAAAAAACCTCGGCGGCGGCAACCCCCTTCCCCCCTCCTCCTTTGTCTCCGGCAGAGACGAAGGAAGGGGGGAAGGGGGTGGCGTGAGACCGAACCCTTTCCCCTTCCTTCGTCTCCGGTTGGAGACGAAGACAGGCTCTTCGTCGCCGGTTGGAGACGAAGGGGGAGGGGGCAGGGAAGGGGTGGCCGTCGGTGTTCTCTTCTTTTTTTTTTTTTTTTAATTTTTTAATTTTTATTTTTATTTTTAAAATTTATTATTAAAAATTATTAAAAATAACAACTCATTATCAACATAAAAGCAGGCAACCAGATGAAATGGGTGGTAACCTGCTATTAGGTGAAATTGCATACAATTGGGGTGTTCAGTGGTCTAATTGCACCTTTTTTTTTTCGTTCAGTGGTCTAATTGCATTTTCAGGCTACGTTCAGAGGTCAATTTGGACCTTATTCCTAAAAATTTAATGCTATGTGCGATTGAATCAGTTGGTCACATAGATGAAATTTGAGAAAAATGACTCGGGATCGAGTCTCATTAGGAGTAGCGTAAAAGTGATCTCTCAAAGTGAGAGAGCTCTTTGTGCATAGTAAGTAAATGTCTCGCCTTTATGTTTAGCTGAGTTACCATGATTATATCATCCCAGATGCTAGCCTTTATGTTTAGCTGAGTTACCTCTTAGAGTTGAAGATTCAACCTTTTGAGAACATTGATAAATGTTAAATGTGTTGTAATAATGGGCATTACTAAAATAAAGTGAATTTCAGTTTTAATCATCAATTATTCTGACAATGTAATATTTAATCTTACTCTTTTAATTTTCTCTTATTATATCATTGATTTCTATTTGCTTGTCACAATTAGTCACTGATCTAAATTTTTGTCATTTCATCGTTAATAAAGAGATCTAACATTTAATTTTATCATTCAAACCTCTTGCCTCTACTTGTAATTTATCTCCCTCTCTGGTAAAGAAATGACAAAATTTTTAAAAATAACTAATTATGGCAAGAAAATACAAATTAAAGATATAATGGTATAAAAAAAAAAATTAATGTGACAATATCACAGTCATGGGCGAGGCTGGGGGGAGGGGGTAATGGAGTAGTTGCCTCCCCCCACACCCTAGTCCCATTATATATATATATATATATATATATATATATATATATATATATATATATATGTGTGTGTGTGTGTGTGTGTGTGTGTGGGGGGGGGGGGGGGGGGTTGGTCTTTTCAGGTGTTTTTGCTTAGGTGTGTGGTTTTTCTTCTTAAGGTGCGTGGTTTTTGTGTTTAAGGTGCGTCAGTGTTGAAACTTAAGGTGCGTCAACCTAAAGTTTTAGGTGCGCAATTTTCCTTCTTAATGTGAGTTGTTTTCCTTCTTAATGTGCGTTACTTGTATGCTTAAGGTGTGTTAGTTGTAGAAACTTAAGGTGCACCCTTTTAAAACCTTAGGTGCGTGGTTTGTGTTCTTAAGGTGCTTTGTTTCTTTGCTTAATGTGCGTGATTTGTGTACTTAAGGTGCATGGGCCTAAAACTTTAGGTGCGTGATTTGTGTTATGTGACCTTGTTAAGACCCAAGGAAAGAATGAGCCAACTGGTTAGCTTGTTAAATGGGTAAAGAGAGTGTCAATTGCGTTATGGGTGTTTTGCCTTAGACACTAAGATCTGGCCGAGTCAGAATGTTGACCCGGTTAAGTTTGGAGAGCCTGTCACTATTCTTAGACTTTACTATGAAGGGGATCGACGCGATTCAAAGGGCACAACTGGTCGGGAGCTATTATCGTTTCCCTGATGAGTCTATGGTAGGGCGAAACTAGTTTGACACGTATGAGAATAAGACTGATTTGCGGGATATGAAGGGTCCCGGGATGCTGCACAGTTGTTATGTGTTGCGCCGGACTCTATAGCTGTGACAAAATGGTAGTGTTTGAAATTCAAAATTTAAAGGTGGAATAAAACAAGTGAAGTGAATGAAAATATGGCGTAGAACGAGGGGCAAAAATGGGAGCCAAATAATCAGGTGCCAAACTGGCAAATTAATTGGGATAAAATTGAGGGAGTTAGCATGCACGCGCATCTCCCTCCTTTATATAGCCCCCATCTCTCTCTCCTCTTCTTTCTCATTCACACTCCTTTCATTTCTTCTTCTTCTTCTCTTAGCATTTGAGACTTGAGAGAGAAATAATGTATAGCTGGGAGAGAGAAAAGTTGCAGAAAAAGCAGAGAACCCCTTCGTTTTCCACAACCCTCCTTGACGAAATCTATCGTTCCATTGATGGATTCGAGGAGAAACAGGCGGAGGAGGAGGATTTTGAGGTGCACAGAAGAAGACAAAGAAACTGCGCCACCAACAACCGGAGTAGCGGCGGCGGCGGCGGCCGACATGGTTGCCCGAAAGTGACGATCAAGAACGTTAGAATAGGCGACCACAATGTCGACGAGGACGAGGATGTCGTGAGTTTTAGGAGGGCTTGTTTGATAGAGAAGTGGATGGAACAGAAAGTTAGTGAGAAAGCAAAGGGGACCAAACCTCCGCTGCCGCCGTTAATGTCGGATTTCGACAGTGATCCTTTGTTCTTTAGCTCGAGTTCCTCGGATTCCAGCTCCGGTGTTCTCTCCTCATCGTCTTCCTTGTCGGACACGGAGTTCTTGGAGTCCACCCGGAAGTCGTCGGCGTCGATGAGAACCTCTTGTTTCAGTTCCTCCCGGCCCAAACCGGTCAGAACCACCGTCGAGAAATCCGAGAATTTGGTGAAGTCCAAATCCGCCGCCGTGAAGATGTACGCGAATCTGAAGAAGATGAAACAGCCCATCTCGCCGGGGGCTCGCCTCACCAACTTCCTCAACTCTCTGTTCGCCAACGGGAAGCCCAAACCCGCCGTTAAACCCTCGCCGGAAGACCCCAAGCCGCCGCCGCCGCAGCCGTCCACCTCGTCGTCGGCGGCGTCGCGGTCGTGTCTCAACAAAACTCCGAGGATGAACAATGGGGTGAAGAGGACTGTCCGATTCGACCCCGTCGGCGTCATCGTCGACGAAGACTGCCGACCCTGCGGCCACAAGCGCATATACGACCGAGATTACGCCGCCGGCAAGCCGGAATTTCAAGAAATCAAGAAAACCCAGGGCTTTCCCAGGGGCATTGCTCTCAGAGGCGGCTACCATCAATGGAAGAAGGATTTTTACGCCAAGGAAGAAGAGGAGGAGGATGATAAATTGAGCGATTGCAGCTCGGATTTATTCGAAATCGATCATCTCGCATCGTTCGCCGGGAACAGAAGATTCCGGGAAGAACTTCCGGTGTACGAGACTACTCAACTTCCGGCCACCGCCTTCATTCGTTAATCCCATCCTTAACTCCTAATCAACAATTACCAAAATCCATTTCTATTTTTATTTTATTTTATTTTCGTCTTTTCTATATATAGTCTTTTTGATGATTTTTTTATTCCACCCTTCTAACAGTTGTATATGCTTTTGATTAAATGTGCTTTGGAATTTTGATCTCTTTATCGGCTTCCGATTGTTCAAAAATGCCACCTATAGTATTTTTAGGTCCAAAAAAGTAACACAAGGCTAATACAAAGGAGCCCTTCATAAGAATGTTTATTTTTAATTTACTATTTCGAGTCTTGTAAATGAAACATCTAAAATTAAAAAATCTTTCATTAAGAAGACTGATTGTACTTATATTTTTCATATAAGTATTCCATCTCGGGGATATGATAGATCTGTTTGGTAGAACTTATAGCTTGTTTGGTAAAATAGGATGTTAAAATAATGAGTAGCTTATTTTGAAACACTACTCCAAATAATGTTTCAAAATAAGTTCTTGATTTTTCAACTTTTTTTTTTTAATTTTTATTAATTTACAAAAATATAGCATCTACCATTCATTAATCAAAATTCTAATATCTTAGTTTATCCTTTTTATGTCTTTTTACACTTATCAATTAATTATACAATTAATTTTATCAAACACTTTAATTTCAATTAGTTAACTTATTAGCTACTAGTTTTTCAGCTTTTAACTTTTCAGTTAGGCGCGCGGTGTACTAAATAGAACTTATATGCAAATTGTGATACTCAAGGAGTATATATTTCTGTCACGTACGTGTCCTTGATGAAATGTAAAGACAAAAAAAAGAAAATTAAAAAGAAAAAATTGGTTTGACTGGTAATTGTTTCTTTGATCATCCCGTCAAGAAGAGTGATATAAAATGAAAGTACGTGTAGAAATACTGGGTGAAGGTGAAGTAGATGTTGTTGGTGTTGCGAGCTGGATCAAAGAAAAGAAAAAAGTTAAGGGAAGATGGTGGGGCAAGATGAGAGATGGGGTTGATCCCCAAGAGGGATAGAGAGGGACAGGCATTTGACAGAAGAGAGGAAAAAGAGAAAGAAAAAAGAAGAGAAAGAAATGAAGATTCGATATTGAAATGAGAAGCAAAATGGAAGTTGTGATGGCAAAGAGAAAGGCAGATCTTCCCCCATGGGAATAGGGGAAAGTGAGAAGTTGTGGAGATAGAGAGAGCTTTAGTTTTATGCTTTATTATTATTTTTATTATTATTATTATTTTTTAATGTTTCCTTTGTATGTGGAATTGGAATTTTGGAACGTTGCTTCAAGTTGGTGTTTGTATCCCACATTACAAATCCCTAGGATCGGATCGGACCATAAAAAAGCAGCACTTGTTTGCCTCACTTGACATTTTGACAAAGATTCATGTCTCTACTCTCTACAAATCCTACCACCATCATTTTCTTACAAAACACATAACTTGTGACCTAAAAAAAAAATTGGAATGCCGACATTGTCATTAGTGAGATTCAATTTTTGTTTTGTGATAAATTTTATTTTTGTGACCAATTGAGCTGTTCAACCTGTATCTTGTTCGTTTTGGAAACACGTCTTCCTATTCCATCTTTTCTCGAATATCCTTTAACGGAAAAAATAGAGAAGCGAATACCCAAACCTAATTCACTCGTTGAATCTCTTTGCATCCATGGCTGAATGGTGAAACCGCCCAACCTATACAAGGGGCAAATTCGTAGGTTCGATTCCTACTGAATGTGTCGTCGAACGGAATAAGACGGCCAGAAGCGACGAGCAGTCGCGGTCGAAGCATGGCTCTGGGTGGTAGGCTATCAATAAGCTAGCTTGACTATAGCGAAGCTCTTACCAAGCGCAAAGGAAAGAGAAAGAATTTTACCCCCTTTGTCTCTCAAAATTAATTTCGTCTTCCATAAATTAGAATATTTCAAAAAATTGTCAATTTTTAAAAATACAATAAAAATCTTCTGCATTTGTTGTGAGAATAATATTTGCATTGCATTTATTTCAAAAATAAAAATAAAAATATACTCCACTATGTTCCATTTTGTTTGTCTAATTCACTTAACGAGGCTTGATTGTAATTATTTTTAATTCAATTTTCATAATATTAAGTTTAGTATTAGTATATAAAATTTATATATTTAGAAACTATATTAAAAGTACTATTAAACACAAAAAAAAAAATTAAAATTAAAAATATTTAAAAGTTACTAAAGAAAATAAGGAACGAAGAAAGAATTGGTTTGACCCATGAATAGTAAACATGACAGACAAAATGGGACAGAGAGAGTATCACTTAGTCAATACATTAAATGTAATCTCTTAAATTTGTATGTCCAATTACACATGACAATATATATATATATATATATATATATATATATATATATATATATATATATATATATATATATATATATATATATATATATATATATATATATATATATATAGAGGATGAAGGGGAATTAGGTTCAAGTGCGGTTGGTGCGTCTATGTGCGGTTGTGCAGTTAAATCTGAGCAATTGATCTTGCTTAAATCAACGTCCAGGATTACCAAAATTTATAAAAAAAAATGTGGTGGCAATTTGGTAATTTTTGCATCTAGGTCAAATTTAAGGTGCATGGTTTTTGTGCTTAAGGTGCGTGAGTTTTGTGCTTAAGGTGCGTGGGCTTTGTGCTTAAGGTGTGTGGGTTGTGTGCTTACAGTGAGTATTTGTTGAAACTTAAGGTGCGTGGGTTTCCTTCTTAAGGTGCGTGATTTTTGTGCTTAAGGTGCGCGGGTTTTGTACTTAAGGTGCGTGCGTTGTGTGTTACTGTGACTATTTGTTGAAACTTAAGGTGGGTGATTTTTATACTTAAGTTGCGTCAGTTGTGTGAAACTTAAGGTGATCGAGTCATTTTAAAATCTTAGGTGCGTGGTTTGTGTTCTTAAGGTGTTTTGTTGTGTGCTTAAGGTGTGTGATTTGTGTATTTAAGGTGAGTGGTTTGTGTTCTTAGGGTGCTTTGATTGTGCGCTTAAGGTGCATGGTGATTTGTGTTCTTAAGGTGCGTCAACCGCACGATTACATGGGAAGCCTAACCCGCACCTGAATCCTTCCCAGATGAAGGGTGTAATTATATATTTATAAAAAGCACTATAATGACATAAAATTTTCGGCAAATTATTGTATGGACCATGGTCCAGACAATGTTATGTGGACCATAACAAAAAGTACATTTTAATATACTAAATGTACATTATTTTTGTACTGAATGTACATTATAAAATATAATGTACACTCAGAACAAAAATAATGTATATCCCCTGTATACAATATACATTATTTTTATATTGAATTTACATTATTTTTGTACTGAATGCACATTATTTTATAGTAGACAAAATATGGTCCACACAACTTGTGTGGACCATATGGACCATGGTCCACACAATAATGATTGAATATTTTGTATACAAATAATGAGTTTTTTTTGGTTAAGTACTTCTTAAAAAAAAAACCAAATTCGGATAGGAGTACTTACTTGATTGTCTTTAAATAAAATTTTTGAATTTGAGCTTTTATGGATGGAGTAACAGACATTGGAAAATTTTCTACTGTTATAGAATTTGATAATAGTTTGATTTCAAATTATTTAGAATAACCTAATGTGACTAACTAGCTACTAGATATATATGATTTGATTCTTTTTTTTTTTTTTTTACCAAATTATGATAAAAAAGGTTCCATTTTTCATTTTATTTTTGGCTGATGAGGGTGGTGTGTAACTGCAATCCTTATGCCATGGAACCGTGTTCACCATCCATGGTGAACACGGTTCCAACGGTGTTAGTGCACCGTTATCTTTCTTTTTTTTTTTTTTTTTTTTTTTTTAAATTAATCGCGTGACTTTTCTTCTTCATTTTTACATTCCGTGGTTTCACTTTAATTTGAGGTGAGCAATGATTTTGGACATTCATAAATTATGAATCCATGCCTGCACATTCACTTTGGAACCATGCCTACACATTCCCGTCCGAAACCATGGCTGCTCCTCTGTAGCGCAAGCTTCTTCAACATTCATAAATTATGAATTTTCTGTTATGAGATTATGAATTTTCTGTTATGAGATTATGAATTTACAGTAAATTCATAATCTCATAACAGAAAATTCATAATTTAATAAATGTTTTTCTTTTATGCGATTATGAATTTTCTGTTATGAGATTATGAATTTACAGTACATTCATAATCTCATAATAGAAAATTCATAATCTAACCAAACGTGCGCCGTTAACACCACATTCGCGAATTTTATTTTATGTTTTTTATGTAAAAAGGGCGCCGTTTGGACCCGTGTTCGCCATTCATGGTGAACACGTTTCCAGGGCATAATTTACCAGACACTGCTTAAACTCCGCTACTATGTAATAACTCGCAAACCACCTATGAGAGATAAATTATATTAGAAAAATCTTATGCAATGGGCTCGACCTAAAGAATGATGGCAAGAAGAGAAATACAATAATTTTTCATTTTCTAGATTATTGTGTGACATTCTAAAAAATTTTATAAGACAAAATTAAATTATATTTACTGTCAATAAATCTTTAAAAGCATTTTTAATTTTAATTTGAATTCAGATGATTCATACCCTGCAAATGATTCTAAACTCAATTGCTTAAAGTGAGCTTTTGAGATTATTATTTTTTAAACAAAAAATCAATGTTCAAAATCTCACATTTTTCTTTGATTCTTATGAAGTAGTAGTAAAAGAAGATGATCCACACTCTTATTTTATAGTTAAATTATTTTACCTCTTAGAAAATTCTCTTTTATTTATAACTACAATATTTTTTGGGGAAAAGTGAAATAATTTTATTTTTTTTTTAAAAAAAATGGAACACAAAAGAAAAAAAAAAAGAGAAGAAAATAAAATGAAAGTTAAAAGGTGGCCCCTCTTTGTCTTCTATCATTTCCAAATTTAGGATGCATGTCACAATTCTTTAACTCAGTTGTGTCTCACTTGC